AAAAATTACATTTGAAAGTTTTTAATTTAGAAAGTCTCCAGTCTAAACCAGCGTTCTTTACAGGTTGAAAGGCTAATGAAGAGTCTTCATTTTCAGGCTGCAGACAGGCACTTTAGGAGAGAAACCTCAAGGCAAAGCGATCCCAAGACGCACTGTCACTGCCTGGGACAACCCCACTGCCGAGGAGCCACCTTCTACACCATTATCAGATCAACAACCACCACACCAGAGACACACGCAAGCTCTGAAAGGGAAAGAAGCACCGAATACGAAAAGCATAAACCAGCATGGCATTTAAAAGAGAAAGCAGAGCTTCATGAGAACATGTAACAGCCAAAAAACAACATGAGACCTCCCTTCATCTTCCGCTTGCTCCCTGCATGCTCCTGGGGCTCGTGCCCATCTGCGAGCACACGCGGATCACAAACAACAAAACTCTCCCAACAGGGAGCCAAGGAGCTAGACCAGGAGGAGACCAACCTCGAACTACTGGAAACCACCAGGCTACACAACAGTGAAAAGGGAGAGGAGGGGCCATGCAGCTAGGAAAAAAGGAAGAGAGAATGCCATGTCCCAAGACCTTCTCCTTCTGGGAGGCTGCTGGCTCCCTGCACCTGCAACGTGCGGCCGCTGAGGCCACCTCCGAGGCTCCCCGACCCGCCGCTCCCTTCCAGGCACCAGCACACAGGAGAAACAACAAGGAACAACTTACTCTAAGCAACCTCCATAGTGTTTTGGAACCACAATAAGCGTTGTTGCATCAAGACCCATTTAATAAGTTTGTTACGAAACTATCTGCCTGCACTGAAAGTGTGAAGTTAGAGAAAAAAAACTGAATTCTTTTGGGAAGCAACCACTGATGCAGTAGCCCAAGGCTCTCCTTGTTGAGTGCAACCATTAAGTCACTGCCATCTGCTGCCTCCGCAGAATCCAAGGAAAAACAAGCACAGGTCCTTCCCAAACACATTTCTGCCTGATAAAGCACCATGAGAAAGGCCACAGCCTGACACTCCAGGACTTCACCGAGAAGCCAAGACCTAAACGGACACAGCAACAAATCCCTTCTTTTTCCTCAGCTCATCAAAGGCAGCTCCTCCAAAAGCTTCTCCAACCTCAGGGAGAACTGCCAGGAATCTGAAAATGGGGCTAGAAAAGCCTCGGAGGCGACAACCAGGTTTTTTTTTCTCTCTCTTTTTTTTTTTTCCTCTTGAACTGCCTCTAAGTGGTTCACGGCAGATGCTCAGTGCAAAAAGTGGCTCCGCGGCCCCTCTCCCCCAAAGAACAACGTCCCATATGCATCCGGCACCACGAGCAGCCGCCGAGAGTGGAGTCGGCCACCCACGCGGGACCGGGCCCGGGGCGGCCGCAGCGGGAAGGGGCCGACGCCGCGGACCCCCTCGCCAAACTCCCCCCGGGAGAGCCGGATCGGCCTGTAACGTATGAAAGCGAGGAGGATGAAACGGGAGGGAAAAGGAAAAAGAGAAGGAGGCCGCGTAAAGAGGCGGGCAGGGCGCCGGGGCCGCC